CTCATGAGTATTCGAGGCAGATTCGGGTCTGAGAAGCAGAGGAGATCCTTCCTGGAAGCCTGAGTTAGGAGGAGGGACTGACTGCTGGAGAAAACGCTGAAGAGGAAGGAGGACGGTCATCTCAGAGCATGGAAAGCGCTGCCAGCCTGAGGGAGCTGGGAGAGAACCATCAGAGCAGACGCAGGGGTCAAGGACGCCAGCAGCGGGAGCAGAGGAGTAGGTCCCGGCGTGGTGAAGACTTTTATGTATGAAACACACATTATTATTATTGGGAATAACCACGTATCAGAGTGCAGTTCTCGGCCTGGAGAATGGGAAATGGAAAGGACCAGAGATTCAGAGAAGGCAACTTATCCAAGGCCACACAGCCTTCAAGGCCAAATAGAGCCTCCTAGGCCCTTCCTGCCACACTCACCCAGCCCCGCCTACACCTCTGTTGCAATGGAGGACCCCACTGTCGTGCCCAGAAGGGCAGGTCTAGGGCACAGTGCCAGGCCCAATGAACATCCCTCATGCTGTTTTCAAGCAACAGGTTGCAATGACGCCTATTTATAGGGGCCTGGTCCCTTAATATTCGGCCTGACATGTCTCTTGCCAATCAAATCAGTGCCGTCTGCAGCGTGATTCCTGCTTTGGTGGCATCCGGGGGAGGAGTTAATTCAACCCAATGTAAATAGATTCTGCCCTCACCTTGCAATTCCAGTATTTTTCCCTCCTTCCTTCTGGCTCCCTAAGCTCTATCCTGGGTGAGCAGGGCCTGGCCACTCCTATATGTGGAGTCACTAGCCACTGCCCAGTCTGTCTCAGAAGCAGTCCTCGAGTTCTCAGGGTTAAAGGGGGAAAAACCCATGTGTGCACGTTTGCTGTGCTTTTCCCAATCTGGGCACCATTTGGCAGCTGATTCAGGCAGTTCTCTCACCGGCACTGCCCTGCCCATGTATCCGTTTCCAGCCTCTTGTCTCCTCTGCAGCCACGGTTTCTTTCGTCTGTACCCAAGGTGGGGAGCTGACCTGAGATCAATGTATGGACATGGTTCTTGGCAGGTACCAGGCACCTTATGGGGTGAGGAAACGTTGCCCCTTTTCTGAGTTCCTCCATTGTCCCTACCAAGTCCGCAGTCCCTGGTCCTGCCCTCTCCCTCCCTCATTCACTCAGCAGGATCAGCAGAATCATATATCCTGTAAGATCCTGGCCTCCCACCAAATGCTCTGCTGCCACTCAGCCCCACCTGATCAGAGGGCCGCCCTGTACTGGGAAGTCCTCTCTCCAGTCCCAGCAACACATCCTCTGGGAGCAGCCCCTTTGGGGATTCCTGGTCCTGGGGGCCCAGTTGGCTTCCCTGGGTAGGAGGGGTCAAAGTGAGAGCCCAGCTTGGAAGATTTTGCTCCCGAGAGCCCGAGGGCTCACCCCCTCCTGCCCCACTTCGCCTCCTGGTTTCATGTGGCGGCTCTGCTTTCGTAACTCATGCTCTTCCTCATACGTGGGGGCCTAATCCTTCACTCTTTCCTGAAGCCAGAAAATATTTACCCAACATTGCTTACATGGAAGGCACTGTGCCTTCCAATTACTGTAGATCCAGTGATGAGTAAGACAGCATCCCTGTCCAACTGGTGTATATATTCTTGCAGAAGACACAGACCTAAACAACCAATTAATGATCAGTTATTTAATTACAGTTGTGATAAGGCCTATTTATAGTACTTTGTAATCACTAATCTCCACGTATGATGGACCATGCTCCACCACTTATCTGAGTGTGTTAACTCATTTAACCCTTGCCACATTTTATGAGCAGGCACTGGTTACAGATGAGGAAACTGAGTCACAGAAAGAGACTTGGCCAAGTGGCCTAAGCCAGGGATTGTGGCCCCGGGTTCTGTGGGTTATTACCGCCTCTGTGGAGGGAAGATGAGGTGCTGTGAGGCTCGTCATGGGAGGCCTGGCCTGGTCTCAGGGGTCAGGGAAGGTGGATGTGAGGAAATGGCATTTGTAGTAAAATTTGAGGGTGTAAGTCAGGAAGAACATTACAGAAAGGAAGTGCATGAGCTACAGCCTTGAGGTGGAGGACCTGAAAGGAAGCCAGGGTGGCTGGAACAGGGAGGGGCTGTCGACGGAGCCGAGCTGGAGGGCTGCAGCTTCTTGTACTGGCGGCGCTGACCTCGCACAGTCCTTGGGCTCCAGTGACTTTTCACTCAATGTTTAACTGGAGTGAATGTTTGCTGTTTCTTGGCAAAGGTCTCGGGGTGGTCGGGTACACAGGTTCTGTCTTCGCCCATAAGCAACCTGAAATGAGGGTTTGTCTTCTTCCCTGGAGCCCAGGCTGTGCCTCACATGAGAGACCCCAATGTGACGTATGTGACCACCTGACTCAGGTCTCTCTCCTGGTCCAGGTCACCCCCACCCAGCCACATCCCTGGTTATTGCCAGACCTGGGGCCCCTGCTCCTTCACTGTGCAGCCTCCTCTTCTGTCACCAGCTGTAGTCAGGAGGTGACAGGGATGAGGCAGCAAAGGACTTGCAGGGGTGAAACAAAGGAAATGACAGGACATGGTGACAGACTGGGAACAAGAATGAGGGAAAGGTGGGAATGCCTACACTGCTCCTCCTGCCCCTCTCCTGTGGCAGTGGACAAGCATGTGGGCTTTTTCGGTGGGGATGTGACCAACTTGGAACCTCCGCCCACTTAGATGTGCTTCTGCTTGGAAATCTGCACAGAAGAGACGTGGGCAGAGCTTCCTCCATCCTTCTTTCTCCCATTTTCTCTACTGATTAGCTTCTGGTGACCCCCAAGGTTACACAGTACTGGATCAGCTGCCTGCATAATTAGCAAATCATTCTTAATTATCCCAGAATGGAGAGGATACAGGTGAAGGCAAGAGCCCAGGTTCAGGATCTGCTTCTCTGTGGTCATGACAGAGGCGAGGGAAGCAGCAGTCAATCTGGGTCAGGTGTCGCTCCTCCCCAGAAGCCTCTAGGCCAGCTGCTGGTCTGACTCCGAAATCCACCATCCCTCAGCCACCCGGCCCTCGCAGGAGAAGCTGAAGTCCTTCCCTGTGTGTGTGAGCACCAAGCTGGAGCCTGAGGATGGCGGGGAGGAGGGGCTCGGGGGTCTCCCCAGGTCTCCATACCGCTCTTCACCACCACAGAGATCCTGCATTGCCAGAAAACAGGGTCGCAGGGCGTGGGTGCGACACTCGGCTTAACGGGGGACCCAGGGCATCACACTCAGGTGCAGCACAGATGTGGGAGCCAGGAGGTGACCAGGGTAGCTTGGCTCAGTGGCCTGGGACCCCTCAGTGCACAGTGTCCCTGATGATGTGGAAGAGATAGGTCAGGAACATGGTCCCAGGACAGCAGGTGCTGGCTTGCTGACCTCTGTGTCATCCCAGTAGATACAAGGATGTCTTCCTGGATTTACTGGTGCTCTAACAAAGACTCACATGATGCCGGGGCAGAGACAGAGGAGGAATGGTTTGGTGCTGCCTTGTCCATCAATAAGAGAGAGCAGCTGGAGCAGCAGGTGGAGGAGGCACAGGGATGGGGGCAGGTGCAGGGGCCCTGCCAGGCTCTTCTCCAGGAGAGGCTCTATTGAACCCCTCACGCCACCACAGGTGTGCAGGCTGCACACGAGGCCTCTCTGGCTGCTCCTGCAGGTCTCTGTCACCTCTCACATCCCCACCTAATCCTGCAGGTCCCAGAAAACTACATGCCAGACCTGGGCCAAGTGCCCAAGATTGATGTACCATCCCACCTGCCTGAGCTGCCTGGCACTGCAGACCTCATGCAATGTGCCATCTTAGGCCCCAGCATCATGCACTGTACCCTGGCACCAGACTCAAGCCTTTCAACCCAAGTGAGCTGTGTGCCAGGATGGGAGCCCTGCTCAGACACCTCCTTCCCTGGGCACCCCACACTTTCTTCCACTTCCTTTTCAGACCTAGAAGATGGAACGCTAACAGCACCCCTCATCTCCCCCAGCGGCTGCAGTGCTGGTCAGGGCACCCTCATCCCCAGCCCAGGCCGCGGCCACTGCAGTCCAAGGCAGCAGGCAGCACGACGGCAGCGGCATCTCCTTCAGGTGGGAGCAGCTCTGAGGACACCTGTCTCATTTCTGGACCCCTGGCGGACGTTCTGTGTGGTTAAGTGGTCAGAAATCCTTAATTTTCTGAATAGTTCTTATTTCTTGTTCTACTTGCTCACAAAATAGTGATTTTCACCTCTAAATAGAGGGAGCCTGGAGAAGTGTGGCCCTGGGGCCTCCATTCCTAGTTAAACCAAGGAGGAAAAAGGGCCTAACACGGACACTACAGTGAGCAGGAACAGGGAGCTGGGGGTCGATGTGACTGATCCTTGCACCCCCTCCGCGGCTTTCCTGTTGCAGTGAGAGCCATAAGCCAAGGTGGGGAGCTGATGTGGGATCTCTTCAACAAGCTGGTCCTGAGATGCAAGGGTAGGAGGCAGGGCGGCTGTCTGCCGCGGGCTGGGGCGTTGTTAATTCTCTTTTGCCTTTTTCTTCCCGTGTTTAAGTCTCCAGGGGCTGGGGGAACCAGAGTTCCCCAACGACCTCCCTCACTCAGCCTCTTCCCTCCAGCCTTTTCACCTCTGGGGCTGGTGTGGGGCTGGGACGAGCCTTAGCCCGTGTGTCAAACCGTCCCTGCCAACCCCAGCAGCCCTACAGGCAGAGGAAGAAGAGGACAACTGGAAATCCTAGGGGGCTCCGCCACACTTTCCTTCCCCAAACTCAGACTCTAGCCATGGCCCTGACGTAGACACAGCCAGAATGGGCTCCTCAGCCCTGCTGCCCTGGAAGGGGCAGGGATGGAAACATCCCAGGTGCGTGTGGAGACCACCTTCAAGGAGCGGGAAGCTGGCGTCTGGGGCAGGAGCTTCTGCTGCCTGTGCTTCTTCTGGGGATGGCTCCACCCAGCCCCTGCACCGATGCACTCTTCGATTCCCTAAGAGACTTCCAGAGAAAACAGCAGCACAAATCAATAAAGAACTGAGCAGAAACCAACAGTGCACTTTTAATTAAGGACCTGTAACTATGCAGGATGCAAACACCTGGGATCAGTGACTTCCCTCTTGCCCCTGTTTGTCTCTAGGCAATGGGGGCAGAAGATCCCAGCAGACCAAGGCCCCTCTCTCTGGGGTCAGATGCAAAAGACAAGTGGTCAGCAGGGGCAGCTGTTGCAGGTGGGAGGGACATTTTCCCACAGGAAAAAAGGTCTCAGTGACAACATGAGGTCTCTAGAAATAGGCATGCTGAGAGCCCAATGGCCCTTGGCATCATTCCCGGTGTCGGGGTAGGTGTCTTGGAGTTTGCTCCAGTGGTTGAGAGGGAGGGAGGGGCTACTGACTTGGAGGAACTGGCGCCAAGCCAGGGAGATAACAAATCCAGGCAGGGCTGTGGGGCCGGTTAGGAGCAGGGCTATAGGTCTTTTCCCTTGGAAAAGACACTGCCAGGCTTTGGATCCAGACCAGGAGGCTTCATGGCCAAATCCAGCAGCAGGGGTCCAGATAACACCACAGGGAGATCAAAAAGGTATGGTGGGGGCATCCCAGCCTCTGGAGGGGCCAGGAGATGCCAGCACAGCCGGGAAGGCCCGGCTGTATCAGCCCTGGGGGTGACACCACTCCCACCCACCACACACAAGAGTAACTCAGGAAGATGGGGAAGGTGACAAGCCCCTGGGCAGAAGCCCTGTGGCCATGGGATCATTTTAAATTGAGCCCAGAGAGTGAGCTGTCCAGGGGAGCTAACTTTGGCTGGAAAGGGCAGAGGCAGACGGGCCTGCTCCATCTCACCTCTAAGAAGGTAGGCAGGACAGAGGTGCCCCAGTGAAGGCCACACAGTTGCCACAGTCTCCTGCAGAGACCAGGCAGGAAGCCTGCCTCTCGGCCATGCAGGATGGAAAGAAAGATTCTATTCCTGGAGGGAGCTACCCTGGAAGGCCCCCAGGACAGCCAGGACCCACTGTTTCTTCGGGATTGCCCCATTTTCTCTGGTGGGAGCTAATGCCTGCGCCTGGGTCCTGGCAGCACTCTGGACTCCACCCTTTCTCCTGGCTTTCACCTTTGTAGCAGGATCCCTGCAGACCAGGCCCATGACAAACACCGTCTCCAGCAGGCGGGCAAAGGAAGGGCACAGCGCCAGGCAGTGGTGTGGTGCCCGTCAGGAAGAGGCTGCCTTCTCCCGGTGAAACTAGGCAGACAGAGGGCAGTGAGAAATGTGATCTCGGCAAAGGAAGGCTCTTGGGAAAGGAAAAGGCAGGACTGACCTTCTGCACGGCAGCAATGGCAGGGCCAAAGGCAGCTTTGACCTCCACGCGGGCTCGGATCCAGGCCGGCAGCTTGGCCAGGACAGGGGGCCGGGCGTATCGCTGGTCCAGGAGCACTATGCTGGCAAAATCCCTCTGGTGCCTGATGGCTCTGCCTGTGTAGGAACAGAGGCTGGGGCTCTGAGTAACACCTGCCTCCCCTACAGCACATTCCCATGGCGTCCCCCTCCCCTTACTGAGACTCATGTAGGGGACAGGCTGGCAACCCTGCTTTACTGTTCTCCCCTTTTAAAGCCCCCATCTGTCCACCCAGTCAGAGGCAGCCAGGCTCACCTATGGACTGGTTGACGGCCTTCATGCACAGGTTCTCCACCAGAGCCTTCCCTGGGGGCGCCTGGCCTGGGGCTCTGGGCTGGGGGTGAAGGGGATGACCCATGAGGACTGTTGCCTGCCTGCAGCTCTCCCTGGGAAAAGACCCTGCCAGGCTTTGGAGCCAAACCAGGAGGCTTTGTGGCCAAATCCAGCAGCAGGAGTCCAGGTGACATCACAGGGAAGATCAAGAGGATGTGGGGGGGCATCCAAGCCTCCGGAGGGGCCAGGAGACGCCAGCATCGAGGGGAAGGCCCGGCTGTATCAGCCTTGGGGGCGATGCCACTCCCACCCACCACCCACTCTTCTCACCCACTGCAACACTGGGGTCACTCACAAGGGTCTGATCCAAGTAGGCCATCTTCTCCTGCAGCTCTGGAGACCTGATGTTGGGGAAGGGCATGCCCACCATCACTACACACCTGGGGGAGACAGGAGACCAGGGCGGGTGGGCGTCAGGGCCTCCCGTGTCGTCACCCACCTGTCACCAGCGGCTCTATTCTACCCCTTCCTCAGCCCTCTCCATCTGTGATCAAAGCTCTGCCCCTCCCTGCTCTGCGGCTACCACCTGAAGAGGGCTTGTTCAGCTGAGAGATCCCGTCTAGGCCAAAGGATTGGGTCCTGATACAGCAATGGCTGGCCTGATCTTCCACATACCCTCCCAGGGCCAAACCCAGAGCTGCTGAGCCCCTTCCTCCAGCTAGCTGGTCTGAGCAGTTGAAGCTCAGGTGTGGGCTCCGATGGCAGCAGACGCCAGGCAGGGGCCCAGCTGCTGGGAGTGAGGGCCAGCCAACTGCAGCAGCCCAGGAGACGAGGAGAAGCACTACTTACCGGCCTAGATTGTCAGAGAAGTTGATCCCTTCACTCATCTTTCCTCCAACCACAGAGAGGAGCAGCGCCCCTGTCACCCGGCCTCTCTCCTGACCACAGCCCTGCGGAAGACAGACCCAGAGTTGCTGAGCTGAAGCTTGGATGTCACCCACAACATTTCCAGCTGCCGCCTCCACGGGGTCTCAGATCCAAGCTCAGCATTAGGTTCGCACCTGAATGCACCTGGAATAGGCCAGCAGCACCTGCTCCACCTGGTGTGTGCTCTTAGGCTCCTGGAATATCTGGAGAAAGACAGAGAACATCTCCCAGAGTCGGGTTCAGGGCACCGGGTCTTGGGTCTGCTCGTGGCCTTGTGTTTTCTGGCAGGGGTCTGGAGAGCCTCACAGCTCAGGGCTTTGGGAAAATCCTCTATAGTCAGGGACTGGGAGCAGTGGGGATGAGGAGCCAGAAGCCTGTCCTGACTCGATGAGCACAAGAGCTCCCAGGAGGACTCAGAGGCACAGTCCTCTTAGTGGGAGGGCCGGCTGACAGGCTACTCACCTTTTTCCTGGCTGCCAGGCGGTCCAGCAGACCACCCTTCTCCCAGTGGGTGTGGACCTGGCGTAGGTACTCGTAGGAGGGGAAGAAACATACCACCCCTCCAGGAACCACACCACACAGGTTACAGAGGATGCGACCCGCCTCGTCCATCTAAGGAAGAAAGGGAGCCCCCATGGAGCAAACCCTCAGCCACCCACAAACAGCATCTTAACCTTGAGGCTCAAAACTGAGGAGAGACCCACAGCATGACTACAGCCAGCGGGGAGGACCTGGCTCCCCTGCGTGGGAACCACAAGATGGCAGGTGCCACCTCTCACCAAACACACCCAGCCGCTGCTGCTGAGCCTTTCTGACACACGTTACAGCACTAGTGTCTCAGGGGGCCTTCCTAGTGCCCTGGCACTGCGTCCTCCCTTCTTCACTCCAGGGTCCTGACAGGCACCACAGTGACCATCAGGCACTGCACCTCAGGCGATGACTCCCAAGCCCCCATCCCTGCCACCGGCAGGAGCAGATATAACCAAAGGGCAAGAGAGCCAAAGGGAGTCAGCAGCTTTCCTCTGCATGTGGCATCCTCGGGGGATGCCTGGAGGTTTTAAAAATATGTATTTAGCAGCCTAAGGGGTGAGGGTGCTCAGACCTTCTCCATAAGCATCTAGATCGATGCTGCTCATCCTGTGCAGCTCTATAGCGGGTGCCCCCATACGATTTCCCTAACGCCTGAAATCACTCAGGTGGGCCAGAGTGCCCCTGCCCCAGAAAACCCTTTGCTGCCCGAGCCCAGGCTGTGGCGCGGCAAGTTGGCTGGGACTGACCATCTGGGGCAGCTCTCTTTTCTGGAATGTAAATTCCAGTGGCTGGTTGGAGATCCCGCTGCAGATGACAAGGGGCAGGATGTTGTCCGGAGGGATCACGTGACCTGTTAAGAGCCAGGGAGGGCCCAAAAACTGGAGATGCAGGCCTGCTGCAAGGCACAGTGCAGGAAGGGCATTTCTCTACGCCATCTTCCAGCTCAGGAGCAGTGACTGACAGTTGCACCCACCCACCACTGCCACAGTCACACTGTGCAGCAGGGAGTAGGGCAGGAGAGCCTGGGTGAATGCACAAAGAGCGAGGCTCCCATCCCCGGTCTCCTCCGCCCCTGTGCCTGGTTGCAGTATGAAGTTACACACAGAAAACACGGGCCAGAACCTGACCTCTAGCCCACCCCACCCTGGGCATGGCTCCTCACCACAGGAAAACTCCACCACGCGCTCAGGTTCCACCCCGGCACAGGCCAGCAGCTGCTGTCGGAAGTCAGACACCTGCAGACCAAGACCCCAGTATCATGGCCCCGTGACTTCCCAGAGACCCAGCAGAAAAAAAGCGAGAAGTCTGGGCTAAAAGGCAGCAAGTACACACAAATACAAAGAAAAGGTCAAAGAAAAGGCTGATGACAAATTAACAAAAACAAAAACAGTGACTGATACCCAGTGCTAGCTAGCAGTCTTCTTTAACCTACGTGCAGAACAGCAAAGGAAATCCAGCGAATCTGGCAAAGTCATTTTGCTGGCCTGCATGCAGCAAAATCACCAGTGAAAATTTTCAGAAATACATGTGGCCGGGGCCCAGCCCAAACTACTGAATAAGAATCTCCAGGTGGTCATCTGTTAGACTGGGAAAAATCCAAAAGTAACCACTCTGTGGAGAAAAAGGCATTTCTAGACATTACTGGTGGGATACAGAATGGTTCAATTCTTATGAAGGGGAATTTCACAGTAGTTAACAAATTAAACATATTTATACTTTTTAACCCAGGAATCCCATATTTAGGAGTCTACGGAGAAGATACAGCCCACAGATACCAAACAGCACATGCCCCGAGCCTTTTCCTGGCTGTCTATCCAGAGGGTACTAGTTGAATGAGCAACGCTACATCTGCCTGACAGAGAACCACACAGCCCACTAAAGGAGCGATGGCTGGGACAACCGACTAAGATGCCTTCCATGTAAATAAAACAGGAAAGGGAAAAGGAGGACACATATTTGCTTATTTTGGGGAAAAAGAAGAACTGAAAGGACAGGCAAGTCAAACTGGTTCCCTATGGGGGTGGGTGGGGAACAGGCTGGAGAGGACAGGAGTGAGACTTTCCTGAATAGATCTTTTTATATAAATTTGACTTCTGAACCACACAAATATTTACATATTTTAAAACTACAAGTCCAAAAAGAAAAAAGCAAATTCTAAAATTGAAAAGAAAATGAAACAAAAACAGCCTAGCGCTCTATCAAACTCAGAAAACACAAGCACACCAAGAAAGGCCTGGTTCCAGTGACTTTATAGCCTAGCTAGTGATCAGACATCCTTAGTGGGTTAGACGTGAAAGGCAAAGAGGAAAGGCAATTTCAAGCAGACTTATTGTTAGAAGTAATATTGGTATTATGATTTTGAAACTTTCGAGTATATTATGGGATAGAGCAGATACGTATGTTAATGTACCACAAATGTTCAGGCTTAAGAGAAAAAGAGGTACAATATAGGGTCAGGTAAACAAATCCTGTAACTTATACTTAGAAATACCAATATGGGCCAGGCATGGTGGCTCATGCCTGTAATCCCAGCTCTTTGAGAGGCCAAGGCAGGTGGATCACTCAAGTTCAAGACTAGCCTGGCCAACATGGTAAAACCCCATTCTACTGAAATACAGAAATTAGCTGGGCGTGGTGGCACATGCCTGTAATCCCAGCTACTGGGGAGACTGAGGCATGAGAATTGCTTAAACCTGGGAGGCAGAGGTTGCAGTGAGCTGCAACAGGGCCACTGTGCTCCAGCCTGGGTGACAGTGAAACTCCGCCTCAAATAAATCAATAAAAGAAACACCAGTACGGAACCAGTGTGGATTCATTCGGAAAACATTTCCTAGATCTGTCTACTGAAACGCTCCAGGAACACTACAAACACCCTACCTCCCACAGCTTGATTTCTAAATCTCATTTCCGATTAGAAGAAACCAGGGCAGCCTGGAGAAATGAATCCAGTGTGGGGGCAAGGACGCCCATGGTGAGCCCAGGACATTCTATTGTGCTGGAGGTGAGGCTGACGGAGCCGCGGCGAGGACCTGAGCTAGCAGGAAGGGGCTGTCGCATCAGCTTTGAGACAATGTGAGCATCAGAAACAATAATGACTATAAACAACTTTACTATGCTGAATGAATAAAACTATGAATCTGTGCACACAAACATATAAAAGTCAAGAGCCAGGGCAGCTGCGGCTGGGAAGCACTGCTTCAGGACTCCCGGTAGCTCTTCATCCAGTAGGCCCTTTGCTAGGTAGGAACTGCACTGTGCAGAGATATGGTTATATTCATCACAGTCATGCTCAACACCGAAAACTGTAAATACCCTGCACACCTAACAAAAGAGGAGCAGCTGCATGAAATGCTATGCATCTGTGTGACTGGAATCCAGCACAGCTGGGGTACCGGAATACGTGCATGCTTGCGGACCAGGAGGCAGCTTACTGGGAACTGAGCACCAGATTACCTTGGCGGCTCAGGCTGTATCTTCTCAGCAGACTCCTCTGCTGCCGAGCGAATGTATGAAAAGAGTGAGTTCCAGCAACGGTGCAGGGAGGGAGCTGCACTTTTGTTTTTAAAACAGGTATGCACGTAAGTGAAAATTATGCCTACAAGGCTATTATAATCATATAGACCAAAATGAACCTTTTAAAAGTGGAATCATGATTTTGTTTCCTTGAGAGTTTGAAACTACTGAACAGCTTCCTCCGGGGGACGTGTGATCCTGGGGCTACAGAATAGAGCAACAGAGGAGTATCCACCACCCCTCCATCCTAAAAGGCACAGCAGTGAGAAAGAACAGCAGTGCCACCCAGTGGACACCGCTGGACCCTTTCTGGCTTGGGGCCCCAGGAGCGAACAGGAATGATATGCATCTCTCCCCAGCCCCCATCCCATCCCAACATATGGGGCACAGGAGCTGGGAAAGGTGTCCTTACCGGCTGCATGGTGCCCCCTGCAATGACCACTGCCCGGCATTCCTTCACCACCTGCGCAAAGTGCACAGCTGGATTCAGGAGCAAGAACTTAAGGCTGCTCTGACTGAGGCTGCCTGGAAAAAGAGATCAGTGGAGAGTTCAGTGCAAGCCCAACAGACCCTTCTATCATCCCAGCAAAGGGGGATTCCCCACGTGAGTCCGGGTCTGAGGCACAAGTGCTAGTGCTTTCTCTTTAAATTAAAGACCATTTAATCTCTAGGACAACCAGCCCACAGAGGTGGACCATACAATCCTCTCCACATTCATACGAGGAAACTGAAGTTAAAAAAGAAAATGTTCAAATCACAAAGCTTATAGATGACCCAAACCATGACCCAAACCAAAGTCCACTCTACCCCACAATACAAGCTTCCCTAGGACCCCTGCCCAAGAGGACCCCTATCCCAGCCCCTCTATCTCCCGTCCTCCTCCACTGCTTGCCAAGTCACAGCAGGCCAGTGCCCACTGCACTGCTTCTTCCTAACCCAGGAAATTGCCAGGATGGAAGGAAAGAATCCTTTCACGCTGCAGCTCCTTGGCTCAGCTTGGCTCCTTCCTGACACCTGAGCACCCGGCCAAGCACCACCTGATTACCCTGGCGGCTCAGGATGACCCTGCCATCTTGGTTGGCCGTAGTGAGAGCTGCCAAGAAGCCTTCGATATGCATCAGTGGGGAAGCTGGTCGCGGGGCGCTGGCCTGACTCTCATCTGCAGGGGCTGCACGGAGCAGAATGGGGAGGAGGCCACCCTGGGGACAGGTCCACACGCAAGGAACAGATGCCCTTGCCCAGGCCTGCAGCCGGCTCTGCCTACCCATCCTCCTGCCTCACCTTCAGTTGCCTTGGGCTGCAGGCTCTGTAGGAACTGCTGAAACCCAGCCAATCTGGGCTGCTCCCGAGATGACAGCACTGCTCCGTGCCGTTCCGTGAAGCCAAAGAGCTGGGTGGGATGAGAGCGAGCAGTGGAGAGAAACGAGGAGCAGCCATGAGAGAAAGGCTGGGTGGATCAGAGGCTCTCCGAGGCCGAGATGCCTGCAGCACACATCCCACTACCCCAGCAAGGCCCACTGCACCAAGGAGGGAGGAGACAAAGGGGACTCTGGAATACCCTCGAGGGCAGCGGTGGAAAGCATGGTAAGGGCAGGGGGGTTCAGGACCACAAGATGGGAGCAGGTACCTTTCTGCTGACCATGCTCTTCTCACAGTACCGCTGCACCTGCAAAACCAAGCCCAGCTGTAGGCACGTGTGCAAACTGAGTGAGCTGTAATCTAAACACACAAAAAAAATCCCACCACCTCCACCACCCAGGCAGCACAACGCACTGACACCTTTTGAGGCACCTGGAGCCTCCTTGCCACCAATGCTATCACACCCTCTCTGAAGCCACCTCCTCCGCTACTGCCCCTGTCCACAATGCAGTGCCCTATTCAGGAAGCCTGTGCACGCGACCCTCCTGAAGTCACCTCCCTGGGCCTCTGTTTCCTGTGCTTGCCAGGGGCGAAAAGATATCCTAGCTCAGAGCCACAGCTCATGGCATGCCACCTAGAACACAGGCAGGACCCTGTCCCCGGGGGCAGTCACGGTTACCGCCTTGAGCCACAAGGGTGGGGTTCGGGCAGCAGTGGCCAGAAGTGCCAGGTACGCAGGCCTAGAGTGAGCAAATGTCTGAGGCTGCAACCAGACCCAAGGCCCGACTGGGAAAATGCAGAAGGGGTCACATAGAACACATCAATGTCCTGCTCCTGTCCATAAGCCTGAGGGAGACTGTGCTGGAAGATGGAATGAGGCAGCCAGGACCTAGAGTCTCTACCTGTTCTATGGGGCACCAAGAAAGGTGCCTTTCTCACCCATCCCTGTGGCCTTCACCCTAGAGGAAGATGACTTTTGTCTTGCAGCCACACTGCGTTAAGGGGTAAGCAATTACACCTCTATGTTTTGGATCCTTAGACGGCTTGAGGACAGATGGAATTTGCTTTTTCTTCCTTCCACAGTCTTCACATAGTACTCTACTCACAGATGGTTTTAAGGAAATTGGATGTGGAAGGTGGAAAGTTGGAAACCTCTACCTTGAACAGGTTGATGTTGTCGATCTGGCTCTGGAAGAGGAAGTCGTTGATGGTCTTCAGCTCCGTCCCTGAGGGCAAACACAGGAAGGGCCTTGGGAGTTTCACCCTGAGCCTCGGCTTTCAGTCCCAGGGTTAAGCTTGGAAGTGGCTCATATCAGCTCTGGGACCTCTGAGAGGAACTCTCTTACCTGTCTGTGAGAGGCTCTGTGTATTGGGGTTTTGCTTAATGTTCCCTAAGAAAGAGAACCAAAGGAGGTCAGGATGGTGGTTCTCTGCACCTCCCAACCCTTCCCTATCTTCTCTCCCTCTACACGGCACAGCAAGAGCATCCGTATTTCCATGGCTTTGTTTTGCTTTCCGCTCTTTATAGCATACAAGGCAGCCACTGAGAGGTCAGGGGGGTCTAGGAGCCTCCCACGTCTGACTCATGTGCTTGTATATGGAGCCCAAAGCCCTGTAAGTTCATGCTTTTCACCCCTCCTCCAGGAGGCCAGGACACAGTGGCCAGACAAACGTATGCAGGGCATGGGAGCACAGAGGAGCTGCCCAGGCCATGTGGTGAGCCTGAGGCAAAACAGAGCTGGCGGCTCAGAGCAACAACACGAAGCTTCCACCAGAAGCTCCCACAGGCTCTCTGCAACTTCCGCTTCCACAGATGCCTTCCAAGGGGCTGCCCCATCGTAAAAGAAGGGGACGAGACGGGGTCATGCAAAGCGGGCTGGAAGCTGAAGCCAGAAGATCCCGGGCTCCCTTGCTGGGCTTGTGAATTGTAAGCAGCCCCTTGCTCTGAGCTCTAGTTTATGCGTCTGTCAACGAGGACTCAAATGCCAGCACTGAGTTCTAACAGGGCACGCAAAACCACATATGCAAGTGCTTCGAACACCCCACAGCACTACGCCTATCACAGAAACACTGTATGTTCATGAGATGCTGTATCCTTACTATTCCTGCAGAGTGGGGCCTAAAATAAAAAGGCCTCAGAACACAGGCAAAGAACCCCGTGGGTCTAAAAAAAAGCTCAAGTCAGACAACTAAGCTACAAAGAACAAGCATTTTCTAAATCAATGATCAAGACCGTTCTTAAAAACACAGAGAACCAAGGCGGTTCTGATGAGCATCCAAGGAAACAGCAGCCTGGCAGGTTTTACAGGCCAGGGGTTGGCAGGGGGACGGGGCTCTTACCTCCCAGCATGGCCACAAATTTCTCCAGCAAATACAGGATCTGTTTCAGGTACATCAGGTTCTTGGCCTTCAAACGCTTCCTGAGAAGAAGCCAATGGACATTAAGCGGTGGTGCCCTGACGGCCACTCACCCCGCCCACCCCCAGCAGGGACCTTCCTGCCCAATGCCTCTCAAACTGGGTCACAATCTACAGATCATTTCCCAGAAAGCAGGCTGGCCATGGCACCAGGCCTCAGAGCCAGTGGTCAGCCTCCCAAGTCTGTGTGAATCACACACCATGATGTGCCTGGGACATGAATGGCACGCGACTCCACCCTGCCGCAACCCGGATCAGAGGGAAACAAAGTGCTGCCTCTAAGGGGCTGATGCAGGGGGCCACCGAGGCTGAGAGATGGTCACACTATCTCAGAGGGTCACATCTCACCTGTATCTCTCCATGTACTGCAGCAGCTGGGAATGGGCCTGGCAGAGCTGCGGAAAGAACACAAACCAGGCTCTAGGTCGAGGGCTGTGCTGCTGACATCTTAGATTCGCCTACAAGATGCTGGCCTGGACACACAGGAAGCCACCAATGGGAGGTACTGAGTCTCCCTGCTAGTTTCCACAAGGTTAAGAAAAGACCTGGAGTCTACGAAGAGTGGCGGTTCAAGGTCACGATCACATCCCAGCCTCAATTCAACCCAGGGACAGGTCAGTAGAGCTGGTGGGATGCCGTGGGTGTTTCATAGTCACAAGCCAAGGTTGCCTCGGAGGCCCCCAGGTGTCTGCAAAACACCCTGAAAACCACTGGTGTACCAGGAAGCGGCCCCAGCTTCTGCTCCTGGAGCTGCTACACCCCAGCTCCACACTCATGAGCTGTATGATCTTAGGACACAGCTTGACCATCTCTGAATCTCCAAGTTCCCAATGTAAAATAGGAATACCACCCCCATGGCAGCGTGAAGACCAGACACCTGGTGCTGCACGTGGTGCAGGAGGAGCCTGCACCAATCTTTTCTTTTTTTTTGAAACAGAGTTCCGCTCTTGTTGCCCAGGCTGGAGTGCAATGGCACAATCTCGACTCGCTGCAACCTCCGCCTCCCGGGTTCAAGCGATTCTCCTGCTTCAGCCTCCCGAGTAGCTGGGATTACAGGCATGCACCACCACACCCGGCTAGATTTTGTATTTTTCAGTATAGACGGGGTTTCACTATATTGGTCAGGCTGGTCTCGGACCAGCTTACAGAACTGGCTGCTGGCATCCAGGGCTGGAGGGACTCAGGAGCGTGGGGGCAGGTAAGGTACAGGGAAACCAGTCGCTCTGTCGGAGCAGGGTCCCCAGAGTTCTGGGATGTGCTGGAAAGCCACAGTCAGCCTCCAATAAGGTCACTGCCTTGACTCAGTGCACCCTCTAGCAAGCCCCACCTCTGGAGAAATTCTTGGTCCAGGTGTCTGGAGGAACCATTCAAATCCCTTTGTCTCACGGCAGGCTGTGGCCTGGGGAGGGGAGGCCCACACACCTGGGAGCCGCTGACCTCCACGCTGTGCATGCCTGTGATGGTGTCGATCAGATTGTGTGCCTCGTCGATGATCACCACCTGGTCCTGCAGCTGGATGCCCGCAGCCTGTCGAGTGGCTGCATGCAGCAGCATCTGATAGGGCAGCACCACCAGCTGGGAGGGAGAAGAGGCCACGTTAGCAGGGCGAGGCTCCCCTGCAGCAGCCTGGCCTGCCCAACACTGAGCTCCTGATGTGGGTGCTTCTATTTCCTGTCTGGACTGTTTGTAGAGACATTCAAGAAATAGCTTGTAGCAATGGACAAGCTTTCCTCAAGAGTTTTACAAGAAAAGTCAAATACATGAAACACAGGAAACTAGGGCTGGTCTGACTCCTGAGTGAACCAAGGGCAAGGCTGGGTGAGGGTAACCCCTGCTTAGCTTTGTCCATGTCCTCAAGGTTGCCCTGGAGGCCCCCAGGTTTCTGCAAAACACCCTGAAAACCACCGGTGTACCATGAAGCGGCCCCAGCTTCTGCTGCTGGAGCTGCTACTTCCCAGCTGTGTGACTCTAGAAGAGTTGTCTAACCTCTCTGACCCTTGGTTTCCTCATCTGCAAAACAGGCTTGATACGTCCTATCTCAAGTGAGGGTTAAGGAGTGGAGCTGGGGCAACAAAAATAAAAGCAAGTCTGCAGATCTTTAGGTCTTTTGTTGTTAGCGAAGTTACCAGTTAAAGGAATAGTCATATAAGAAAAATGAAAAACCAGAAACTGAAGGGCTCCATCACCTACTCTTGGTGAGAAAATATAAGTCACTTAACCCTTCTGGGCTCCAGTGTCCCCATGCATAGCATTTCACCAGAAAACTGTTAGCATAAAGTCAAGATATGGTCAAAGTGCTTTAAAAATTCAAAAATTGGAAAGGTTTTGGGTCATGTTATGATATTTGTGCACAAATGCCTATAGCACTAATCTTGCTCTGAAGGCAAGCAGACCGGAGGGAAGGCCTAGGACATCACGGGGGCGGGCGGCGTTCCTCCATTTCTCTGCCAGCGCCACACAGCTCAGACCCTATGCTGGTGAGCATTTGGCTGCTGTGAAAAATGGTAACTTCGTTTCCCAAATCTTTTAAAATCTACTTAAATTTTTTCTGGATTAAACAGAATTTTCCACAAGTGATATCATGTTTCCAAAGTCATTCAAATTAAGGAATTAGCAAGGTAACAGTGAAATCGCACCCACCAAATCACAATGAGATACCGTTTTTGACCTGCTACGTTAGCAGTTCTGTTTACAAATTAAGACAGTATTCTCTCATGCTGCAGGTAGGTGTATGTTAGGAGTGCTTTCCAGTTAAAAGAGTACTATTATTTAAAAAAAAAAGATGAAAAATGGGAAAACTGAATGGTTCCATCGCTGACGTGTTCCACCACATCGCAGGTGTGGAAGTTGGGACCGTCACTTGCAAAGCCATTTGGAAACAGATGGACACACCACGCCCTTCTCAGCTCCTGGCATCCTCTCCCTGTGGTTTCACTAGGAATGCACATGCCTTCCTGGCTCCTAAACACTGTCCCCAGTAATACCAATTGGCCTTGCCGCCTGGTTCCCCCAAGGAATCCCACGCGCCTCCTCCAGCTCACGCATCAGGAGAGAATGGGTTAAGTGCCATCAGTCTGACCACGGTGGGTGGCATCCCCCAAATTACAGTGTGATGAGGACTCCCCTCATGGCCTAGGCCACAGTGAGAGCCAAGAGTGGCTTTCCAGCACTGCAGGGCCCTCACCTGGGCTGCAGGGATGGCAAGGCGGCTTCCATAATAGGGACAGGCCCGGGCCTCCTTCCCAAGGGCCAGCAGCTGCTCAATGTCCTTCACCTCTGCCAGGGCCTCATCCCGGAGGAAGTCCATCTGCTCGTGGTTGTAGAAGGGGCAGGCAGCCTGCTTCTCCTGCCTCCTTCTCTTTGGCTTCTCCTCCTCAGCTCCTTTCTTCTTCTCTGAGGGTGGCGCACAAACAAGGAGAGAAAAGAGGGGACAGCAACTGTCCAAGGGCCCGAGAGAGGGTTCTGTGATGCTAAGACCCACTTCCACAGGGTGGGGTCTGTAAGACCCTCCCAAGTACTGCCAACTACGGTCTTGTCGGAACACTCTAAGATTTTACTTTTGTTCTACAGAAAGAGCCTGGAAAATGATCTCCATGCCACGGATTTGGGCCAGACACTGACCCAGAAAGCAGGAACACTTTTTCCCAAGGAGAGGAGCCTTAGGAAGGAACTGGGGAACTGGGGTCTCCTCTGCCATTCTATTTTTTTTTTTTGAGACAGAGTTTCGCTCGTTACCCAGGCTGGAGGGCAGTGGCGTGATCTCGGCTCACCGCAACCTCTGCCTCCTGGGTTCAAGCAATTCTCCTGCCTCAGCCTCCCAAGTAGCTGGGACTACAGGCGTGCGCCACCATGCCCAGCTAATTTTTGCATTTTTAGTAGAGATGGGGTTTCACCATGTTGACCAGGATGGTCTCGATCTCTTGACCTCGTGACCCACCCGCCTCGGCCTCCCAAAGTGCTGGGATTACAGGCGTGAGCCACTGTGCCCGGCCTCCTCTGCCATTCTTTCTGTGCAAGACAGTTAACGGTCTTCAGTCACTGCCACCCCTGCCTCACCCTCCCCAGACCACCTGCGGCTATGCCATGGTCCCGGTGGCTACCGTGCCTGCTTCTCTGCATGTCCACGCAGCGGTCGTTGATAAGCTGCGCAGAACCTAGACTTTTCACATCTTCGTTTACACAAAGGTTCTGCAACAAAGGAGAAAGGGAGGCAAAGAGACAGTGCTGGCTAAATGACATGCAACCAACACACGTGGACCTGCCCTGCCCACTTCTCCTTCGCCTTCCAGTGATCAGGTGGCCAGGCCAGGCCAGGGAGAGGGCTGCTTCTCGCACTGTTCAACCTGTCGCAGACCCAGCGTCTCCCAGGCCTGGACGAGGAGGACAAAGCCGTGGGGAAGGGAGCAGGATGGCCCCCGGTGGAAACACTGGCCGCTGTTTACCTGCCGGGAGCCGAGGGAGACCAGCCGGACGTCCTTGCCAAAGGGGCTCTTCTTCACCTCATGCACAAACTGGGCCAGCTGGGAGTGTGTCCGACTACAGTAATAAACCTAGCAGAGAAAAAGAAAGGTGCTCAAAGAGGGAACCAAAACATCCCACAGCATTCTATTCTCTAACATTGAGGCACGCCAGGGCCTGGAGGCTGAGGGAAGGGGGTGGTTCCAAATTCACAAAGCTGAGGCAGGACAGCAATGTCCCACATCAGGTCACATCTACTCAGGGACCCAGGGGTTCCTGAATCGCCAAGGGAATGCCCGAGGCAGCTCCTTCCACGAGTCACGTCCAGCCTCTCATCAGCCGCTTTGGAGGGTTGGCCAATCTTAGAACAGTGGTGACCACCTCCCAAATGGTGACCCTTAACCATGGCAAAAGGTCCCCATTTGGGGAGGGGGGTGTCAGTAGGGCGGGGTTGTTTCACACACATCCATCCCCCACAGGGGAAAAAGGAAGGCTGAGCAGAATACCCTCTCTCTACTCCTCTAAGGCAAGAGTGAAGGGAGGAAAACAGAAAAATACAGAGAAAATACCTACTTCTGACAAAAAGCAAAAGTCATATATCAATGAAACCAAGTATGTTTAAACTTGAGAAATGTCAGACCATACACATCCCACTGCCCTCCGTGCAAATGGAAACACGGATAAGAGGAGAAGCACACCATGAAAGACCTAAAGGGCAGGGCACTCGTGTGTCCTACCAGCCCCACCCAGCGGGGACAGAAACCACACAGACTTCAGCCCAGAACAGCTGCTCCTTGATGCCCTGGGGTGGCAAGCATGGCCCTGCTTCCAGGAGAGGTCTCCCCAGGCCCCTAACCCAGGAGAGGTCTCCCCAGACCCCAAACCCAGGAGAGGTCTCCCCAGGCCCCGAACCCAGGAGAGGTCTCCCCAGACCCCAAACCCAGGAGAGGTCTCCCCACGGCCCCAAACCCAAGAGAGGTGTCCCCATGGCCCCACTCCCAGGAGAGGTCTCCCCATGGCCCCAAACCCAAGAGAGGTGTCCCCACGGCCCCACTCCCAGGAGAGGTCTCCCCAGGCCCCGAACCCAGGAGAGGTCTCCCCAGGCCCCGAACCCAGGAGAGGTCTCCCCAGACCCCGAACCCAGGAGAGGTCTCCCCAGGCCCCGAACCCAGGAGAGGTCTCCCCACGGTCCCAAACCCAAGAGAGGTATCCCCACAGCCCCACTCCCAGGAGAGGTCTCCCCAGGCCCTGAACCCAGGAGAGGTCTCCCCAGGCCTCGAACCTAGGAGAGGTCTCCAGGGTTGCATCTGGGACGCCACAGAGTCCAAGTGCTGGAAGCTCCTCCTTTGCAGGCAGGAGGGTGAGAAGCAGCCGAGTGACTCCAGCCTCCTCCCCAGGGGTGCAGAGCCCAGCCCACAGGCCCCAACAGCACCAGCAGAGGACACTCATGTTACCTTAGTTACATGTTCTTCCTCCAGGTCATCCTCATCCTCATCCACTCTGTTTGTGAGACAGAGAAAACACAAAACAGTCTTCCCTCAGCGAAAAACACTGAGCATTTGCTGAGCGCTGGTCTTGAGCCCTGGACATCCCCAGCAACGGGTTTCACCAAGGAAGCAGATGCTGTTTGCTCAGAAACTCCCCCAGGCAAATGCCAACCCCAGTTTCCCATGGCTACTCAGGTCTGTGGATGGGGAAATGTGGAAAGAAGGGGCTCGGCACTCCCAACCCAAGTCTTGAGTTGGAAGCCTCAGGAGTCACGGCAGGCTGTTCTCTCTGTCCTCCCTCCAGCAAGTGGGACCCCTCTGAGGCATCAGGGGGGACATTTGCTCTTCGTCACCTTGGGCCTTTGGGTGTTCTGCACCTGGAATGTTATCTCCTCTCACCAGCTTCCAGACAACTCTGAGATCACAGCAGAAGTCACCTCCTCTAGGAAGCCTTCTTTGACCTTCCCTGGTAGGTCTGGCTGCTCTGACACATATTCATGGCACCTGCTCTTAACACCTATCTCATTCAAAATCGCTTCCCCTCCATCTCTCTCCCCTCGGACTGTGATGTCCACGAGGGAGGACCAGGTTGGCCTTGTTTCTGCTGCATTCCTGTGGCCTCACCTAGAGCTTGGCATGCAGCAGGCACCCCATGCACATCTCCTGGATGAAGCCACGGCTGACCAACCGAGTGAACAGAAGATGCTGTCACTTATGACTAGTCACACCTCTTCTGTTTTCAGTCTGTCTGCCCTTTCCAGCAATGCAGGAAGGAAGAGCCCATCAGCACCGGGGGTTGGCAGGGAGGCCAACCCTGCATCCCATGGCCTGAAGCCAAGCCAGCTTTACTGGCCTACACTCTTCGGAAAACACAAAACCATCTACCATCTGACAGGTGCAGGCTACCTATGGGAACAACGCATGAAAAAGACAACATTTTGGTTCACCTCAAAATTCCTTTCTAAAAAGGCAGAACACAATTGCCTTTGGCTATCAGAAGAGCAGTTATTACAGGCTTGGCTTCATGGTCATTAAAAATCAGGCAGCTCTGTCTTAGAAGCTTGAATTCTATCCTATGTCGCATGCTGGACAAAGCCAGCAGGAGCTCAGTGAGAGGCTGGGCGTTTGAAGAAAGGAAGAGCAAAAATTTTCCATTCAGAACTCAGGTCCTCCAAGGCTCACACATCTCTTGAAATGTCAGGGCACAGGAAGCCCCAGAAGCTGATCTAAGGGATCCGTGGCTCTTGCCCAGACCCAAAGGAGCACTTTGTTCCTCTAATATTCACCACTCCACCTCCATTCAAGTTCTCTGCCTTGTCCCCACGGGCTCCAAGGAAGAAGAAGGGGAGCTGAAACAGGATCTTGGAAGCAGGCAGGGAGGGTTCACTGAGCAAAAACCATTTATGAGCCCCTCTCGCCAGTGAGGCATAAAGCAGTGTGGTGGTCTCTGCCCTGGGCAGGGGCAGAAGTCAAGGTTCCCAAGGGCAGCCTGGAATCACATTACCGGACTGGAACGAGCCGGCATTTGCTCAGTCAGGTCAATTTCATTTTACTGAGCACACCTCTATGCCAAACACTGGGCCAGTTCTGGGAACATAAAACTACAAAGACGTGGTTCCTGCCCTGAAGCAGGTCAAGCTCAGCCAGGGAGAGGAGGCAACCACAGGAGCACAAGCGGGCGTGTGAGCGAAACAGAGCGGCTGACACCCAAGGCCATCGAGATGACGCCTGAGCCAGGCCTTAAAGGAGAGAAAGACATTACCAAGGTGTTTGGACAGAGCACGCTGCATGAGCACATCCTCCGACAGGACAGAGGAAGGCCTGGAATGCTGGAGGAAGGTCAGGGCAGCAGGGAAATTGGCTTCTGGGGGAGGGCAGCTGGAAGTGGCATCAGAAGGAGCCCTGCAGACAGACTGTGATGGCCAGGGATGAACCTTCAGAACATCCACGGAGGGTCTGTGGTCTTGCAGTTACCCTCCAACAGATGTGGTGGCCAGGGTGTCACAGGACACATGGGACCCACCATCAGGTGCAGCCCCCAACACCATCCATATGACCCAGTTTCCTTGTAGGCAAACATGCTGATTTCACCTAGGTGCTATTTGTTTTCATGTCTATTAACTGTCCCCTCCATGTCTTCTTCCCTTCTATGTCCACAGCATCTGGCTAGTGCCACATCCAGAGCAGACACGCAGGGGTGGTGGTGAGGTTCCAGTGTGAATGGAACGGGACTGTCACCAGGGATCCTGTGGGCCAGAAATGGCCTGGGTGGCCTACTCAGGGCTGAGTCACCCCGCAGCTCATGGCTCATCAAGTGGAAACCCCGAGTCCGGACCAACAGAGGCCTTAGGGGAAAAGGAAAGCTTGGGCTAAGGCAGCCTTGACGGGTGGCACCCAGGCCTGGACAAGGTGCCCAGTGCAGTCAGCTGCCTCAGAGCCTAGATCTAGAATCAGGCTTGCTGAAGTCAAGCCCAGCTCCACTGTTGAGGCTTGTGGTCTCCGCCAAGGTGTCTCCCCTCGTGGGGCTGCAGCCTCCTTGTGCCTAAAGCACAGATACAAATGTCCCTGCCCTGCCTGAGCGGCCATGAGGACAGCTGAGTGGACACAGGACAGGCCGGTGACTGTCAACACTGCCATTGGCACTCATGGACCCTAAGAAGGACCCAGCTTAGAGCAGAGGGCAAAGGCCACCATGCCTCTTGCCAGGTGCTTCATGGCACCTGTGGCACAAGGGAAAGAGCTGTCTTCAAGGGTGTCCCCTGGCCTGGGGCAGGGCAGGGTAGCGTCACCACCGTCTCACCTGCTCCCTGCTTTTTTCTCCTCGTCACTCTCGTATTCGGCAAGGACCAGCTCCTCCTCCCCAGACTCCAGCTGCTCCAGCCGCTCAGCCCCGGAGCCTGTCTCCAGCATCTCCCTGCTGAGGCGGAGGAGATTCTCTGTTTCTTCTTGTTCCTGCCTCTGGACAGGAGTAGTGGACGTGGGGAGAGAGGAAGAAGTCTCAGCACCAGTACCCACCTCCCCACGTGCCGGGGACAATGCACACCATGCCCATTCACATGGGCCTGGCTGCCTGGCTGGAGAGGGGTCTACTCCTAGGATCCATGCCTCAGCCACTCACAGCCCAGCTCCTGCATGGGAGCACACAGCCAGGGAGGGTCATGGAGGGGAGACTGACGCCCTGGCCACGCACCCATGAGCCTCCAAGCAGCGGGACTCTGCCTGGACACGTTCCCGCCCCCCAGGAGATGAGGCTCACCAGGCGCTTGGCTGCATACTTGAGCTGTGCCCTGTGCTGCAGCTGCTGCAGGTGTTCTTCTCGCTGCCTCCTCCTGGCCTGCTCCGCCTAAAGGGGAAGGCAGACACGAAGGAAACTCACCAGGAAGCCCCAAACCAGCCCTCTCTTAAGGAGTCTGGGCCGCTCAGCCTGGCGCTTCCTCACTTGGGGGCAGCTCTCCTTCCCTGGCCGGCACTCAAGGGCTGCCGCTTCCCCTCCCCGGACCTCACCCCTGCAGTCCCAGCCTCACTGTTCACTGAGGAAAGCTGCCCGCTCCTCCCAAAGCCACACGCTCTCCATCAGATCCGTGCCTTAACTGCATTACAGCGACTGAACCATGTTGCCAATGGCAACAATCAGGTCCTTTCCCAGGTGAGTAATAAATGGGAACCACCAGCTCCTCGTGTGAAAAAGGCCTGCTGACATCCAGCTCACAAAAGACAGCATCGACCCAAGGAGCTGATGGAAGAGCTGAGAGGCATGGCAATGGCAGAGGAACACGCACTACCCGAGTCTCCGAATCACCCCAAAACAATCGCTGAAGCCTGTTTCCTCCATCGCTCCCACTTCTGGTTACCCCAGGTCTCACCTTTAGTCGTTCCACCAGGTCCCTCTCTTCTTTCTTCTGCATAAACTCAGTCACCCAGGCTGGTTCTCCAGCAGGCCTCGGGGTGCCTGAGGCCACTTCGCAGGAAGATGACAGACATGGGGATTCGTCTTTCTCATGACGTAAGGGGCCAGTTCCAGTTTCAAGGAGCCGTGCCTCTTCTTCACGCTTCTTCTGCTCAAAGTCACGGAGCCAGGAGAGGGCCCCACAAATAAGACTTAAGGACTTTCCCTGCAGGAAGAAAAATGAGCTTTAGGAACAGGAAAATAACAAAGCCTTCCAAATGACCTCTCCCCATTTTAATAAAAGCTTGAAAGAAGGTCTGGCTGTACATATGAGAGGATGCTCTAAGACCAGCCCAGGGAAGGAAAGGAAGGAAATTAGCACTAGACTAGCCAGGAAAAGCAGAAAAATGGAAGAAATGAAAACTGGGCCCAAGAAGCAGGAAAGAGCTTCTTTAATTGTCCAGCTCATACGTAAATACTGCACATAATTAGAAGGAGGTGAGACAACAGGCCAAAAAACCTAAAAGAATTAAGGCCCCAAAATGTCAAGCAAGCAATTCCATGTACTTGCCAAGACAGAGCCCGAGTGGCCGCTCAGCCTTCATGCAGCTCACATGCAGATACAGGATGATCAGTCACGAATGCCAGTGTTCACGTTTTTTGTTTTTGTATTTATTTTATTTTGTTTAATTTTAATTCAATTTTATTTTATTTTTGAGACAGAGTCTCCCTGTGTTGCCAGGCGCCAGGCTGGAGTGCAGTGCCAGGATCTCGGCTCACTGCAACCTCCGCCTCTCAGGTTGAAGCAATTCTCCTGCCTCAGCCTCCCAAGTAGCTGGGACTACAGGCATGTGCCACCACGCCCAGCTAATTTTTGTATTTTTAGTAGAGATGGGCTTTCACCATGTTGGCCAGGATGGTCTTGATCCCTTGACCTCGTGATCCACCCGCCTGGGCCTCCCAAAGTGCTGGGATTACAGGCGTGTGCCACCGTGCCCGACCTTGTTTTTGTTTTTAAAAGCAAACTAATCACTCTGGAGGACATCATTCTTCTTGTTTGTCTGTTTTAGAGAGGCGGTCTTGCCATGTTGCCCAGGCTGGTCTGGAACTCCTGAGCTCACACGATTCTCTGGCCTCAGCCTCCCAAGTGGCTGGGGACTATAGGTGTGCGCCTCCGCATACAGACTGGAGAACACTACTCTTAAGACCAGAATTTTCCGTAAGCCTGGTTTATTTGTATTCCCCCAAATTGCTGTGCTGAAGTCCTAACACCCCGTGTCTCAGAATGTGGCCTTATCTGGAAAGAGGACCACTGCAAATGTAATTAGTTGAGACTACTAGGGTGGGCCCCAGCCTAAAGGGCTAATATCCTTATTAGAAAGGGGACACGTGGATGCAGACATGCATAGAGGCAGGCAATGTGATGAGATCCAAGAAGACGCCACCTATAAGCCAAGGAAAGGGGCCTGAAGGGATCCTTCCCTCGAGAAGAAGGGACCAAGCCTGCTGACTCCTTGATCTCAGACTTCGGACTCCAGCCTCCAGCGCTGTGGGACATCAGTTTCCATTGTTTAAGCCCAAGTTTGTGAATCTTTCCTCTGGCAGCCCCAGGGAACCAATACAGTTCTTTCAGAGAGGATCCTGCAGCCAGCGCCACCAGGTGGTGGCCCAGGTGTCCACAAGGGACTTGGCTCAGGGGAGACTCTGGAGGAGCCCATGCCTTCTGCTCCAGGCACCCAGAGGGAACCGCAGAGTATCCAGGGCAGAGTGAAATACCTCATATGACTAGGGTTGGGGCAGCAGCATGGCATAGGAGTCAGAGCTTCAAACTCCACAGCCAGGCGCCAAGGCTCCAGCTGCACCCCCCACCTGCAGCTCTGTGGCTCAGGCTGGCCTCACTGCGCCTGGTTCCACAAGTTCAGAAACGGGAATGACACAGCAGCACCCTCCTCACAGAGCTGGTGCAAGCAGGACATGAGTTAACACACACAAAAGGCCAAATCCTCTGGGCTAGAGGACTGCCTGGCAAATAAGTGAGCAGTTGGACTTAGCCAATTTTTTGCTATCTTTAAGTAATAATAAGAGTATTAATAGTATTATTCTGGGATATGGGATCTATTAGTTTTCATTAGAATTTTGAAAGGCCCTGGGATAGGACAGAATGACATTGCTGACAAATGGATGGATCCCATATTTTTAGAAAAGCCCCATAGGTGCCATTTTCCTCAGTTTTTGATAGACACTAAATGGCAAAGAGCTTCAGGCAAAACTCCCCACCAGCACCCAGAGGGCGGCTCTTCGGTGCTGCCTGTGACACCGGGAGCAGTCAGCTTTGGCTGTCATTGAGCTGGGAGACACCATGGTTACAAAGCCAGTGCCCTCCATTTGAAAGTGGGCTGAGGAAGTTCCTGAGGGTATGGTCAAAGTTATCTTTCAAAAACAACCGTGGGTATACGCCGGCACAATAACAAAAGAATAACTGAGGCCCACAGCTTTCTATCCTGTAATAAGACCACAAAACTTTGAGACTGGAAAATGTCACCAAAGGCTCACCTTCCTGGGGTGTCATCCCAGATAACACAGTTAAAGGATTTATGTCAAGATAAGCAAATTCATCACTCTGAACGCCTGCTGGCTGTCGCAAGCATGGGGCTCAAAGCTGAGGACACAAAGGTGCAGTGTCCCTAGGAAAAGCTCACAGGCCCGCATGTGCCATGCAATTCGAGGGCATCACAGATCCCTGCAAAGCGTGGAATCCAGGTTTGAGGGCTCCAGAACTGGAGTGTTACACAAGGCACAGCACACACCAAGTTGTGATGGTGATTCAACTTGACAGACTCGTATGAAGCTTAAAAAATTACTTAAGGAAAAACAGCATCTCGGGCAGCGAAGCTGGGGCATACAAGACAGGGAAAGGCATGCAACGCACAACATGTAACAAAAACCCCACTTGCTGTCCCACAGCGTGGCTGCTCCTGTGGGCCACAGGACACCTGGGACAGGAGAAAACATTCTATTCAGGGGATGATGTAGAAGACAGAAGAATGTCAAAGGTAATAAAGTCACAGTGTACATTCATAGAGTGCACACATGAAGATGAGGCTAGCGAACGAGAAACATCAACAATTAAAGGCTGAGCAGAGGATGAGGACGTGGAAACCTGAGTGCAGAAAACTGAGATGGAAAGACTTGAAAGGGAGATGATGGGTTGTCAGGCAAAACACAGTGAAAGGGGTCAGGCGCAGGAGCTCACACCTATCATCCCAGCACTTTGGGAGGCCAAGGCAGAGGATCGCTCGAGCCCATGAGTTTTAGACCAGTCTGAGCAGCATTGCGAGATCTCATTTCTACAAATTAAAAAATTAGCTAGGTGTGATGCTGCACACCTGTAGTGCCAGCTGCTCGGGAGGCTGAGGTGGGAGGATCACTTGAGGCCAGAAGGTCGAGGCTGCAGTGAATCATGGTCTTACCACTGCACTCTGCCCTGGGCAACGGAGTGACACCCTGTCTCTAAAATTAAAATAAACAAGGCGGAATGAACACGCACTCATCTGAGTTCTTTTCCAAAGCACACTAAAATTAACCAAAGCAATATGAAGGCCTACACCCACAAAACAAGGAAAGTGGAAGGAGTAATATGTTTCAGGAGAGAAGGAAAGACAACAGAGAAATGGAAGTGATTTGGCAGAGACACTCAAGCTCACGTGTCCCCAAAGATCTACCCCATTGACTCTCAGAAAGACTCGGGAACTGGTAGGAACATGGCAGGCCACTGAAAACAAAGGGACAGATTGAAATTCTTTTCAAACACAATTAGATCCCCAGGTTGCAGTCCCTGATCCTGCTCCTTGCAGAAGACAGGAAGTGGGTTCTCTGTGGAAGCTGAGCTAGGAGAGCTCTGGAGGCAACAGGCAGAGTGAGGAAGAAAGATGGAAGAGGAGGAGGAGGGCCAGGCTGAAAGCAGGCACTGAGGGGGACTCTCCACCTGGAGCCCCTTCCCGAGACCACTTCCAGGAAGACTGGCTGTCAGGCTTCAGCCCCTGTCCCTGCTGGGCCAGAGCTCAGAGGCGCCTGCCCTGGAGAAACCCAAGGCTCTAGGGAAAATCTCACAGATGTGCTGGCAACTAGAGGCCCCCAACAAAGCATCCCAGCCTGGCAGCCACAGCCAGTCTGCCCTGCAGACTCAGCCTTTCTGTGCCCTGTTCTTTAGCATACACATGCAGCCCAGGACCACCGGATGTTGGAAGAAAGCCTCCAAACGCACATATACCCCGCTGTGCTGTGGGTATGGCTGTCTGTCCCCACCAACACTCATGCTGCTATCTGTTAAGTCAGTCAGTCTGAGGAGCAACTAATTCAAATGACAGGGAAAGGATGGAGGATTCCAGGAAGGCTCCAAGGTAAAATGGAATTGGTCACTGCTGTGGAATGAGTTGTGTCCCCACCAAAATGCATGTTAAAAAAAGTTGAGAACAAAAACGAAACAAAAGAAGCTGGGTGTGGTGGTGTGCACCTGTAATCTCGAATCTTGCCAGCCTGCAGCTGCTTGGGAGGCTGAGAGGGGAAGATTGCTTGAGCTTAGGAGTTCGAGACCAGCTGGGCCACACAGGGAGACTCCCCATTTTTACAAGCAATCACATGTTGAAATCCTAACCCCACTATGTGACTGTACTACAGATCAGGTGTTTACGGGTAAAGGAGGTCATAAGGGAGGAGCCCTTGTCTTCATAAAAGAGAAAGAGACACCAACGATCTGTTTTTCTTGCTCCACAGCAAGAAGGCAGTCATCTGCAAGCCAGGAAGAGACCCCTTCCCTGGAACCTGAATCCTGCCAGAACCTTGATCTTCAATTTTCCAGCCTCCAGAGTGGTGAGAAAATAAATTCCTGTTAACTTACCCAGTCTCTGCTATTTTGTTATGGCAGTTCTGGCCAACTAAGACAGTAATTTTCTGGATGGAAAATCATATTGAGAGGCCACTGGATGACGTGGGAGGAACTGGCATAGGTATATTAAAATCTTAAGTAACTTTAATAAAGCAATTATTAACTCTAGAAAAACAAAATATTAAGACATATTGTTCAAGACAAAATTATGTTCAAAACATAATCATAACACACACGTTGACTCAGCAGAGACTAAAACCTGGAATTATATTTGTAGGATGGGGAAAGGGAAGGAAAAGAGATGACAATAAAGCCGTCTCATCTACTGTAATAGGAGGGCACCGATGACTTTACCCTAATTTTTCTTAGACCATGGAGCTATGTTTAAGACTTTAATAGAGGCAGTAACTACTACCCGGAAAGATAAACTGAGACTACTCTGCCCAACTTCAAACCATGAAAATCTCTAGACAGGCAAACAGGAAAAGCTAGCACGGCTGCCCTTAAGTTGTCTTCATGGCTGTCTCTCACTTTTCATACTCACAGTGCCAGTTGGACTCTCAAATATCCCAATCTTGCCAGCCTCCAAAACCCGGTACAGCTCTGCCATGAAGTCTTTCTGGATGGAATAGGGCGTGAAGGGAAAAGGAAAATGGATGCCACCAACCTTCTGCGTTTCATTAGCCATGGACCTAGGAAAAATAAATAAAATATAGTAGCTCTCTCACGATCCAGGAAGAAGAGGCTTGAAATCCTAGCAGTAACTAAGAGCAGTCTCCACACTTTTCACCAAATTTTTCCTAGGTTGTATATTTTTCTTGGAAGCAAGACCATAATGTCTCCATCCCTCGCAGGTCTACATGAGGCCATACCAGAATCATGCAATCCATGTAGCGACATTTAATGGCTCTAACAGAATGCAGACCAGGAAAGCCCGTAAACGGAATCTCCCCTGCCATTTCACTGCTGCTCGGATACCTTTCCAATGCCTCTACGAAAGGCTTAGGGCTGTCTTCTCAAAGACATGCACCCCTAGGATCAAGGGTGTTGCTTATAATTACTTTTGCAGCTTTCTTCTCCCAGTGCACATTCACAAGCCGAAGCTACTTCGCTTTAACCCATCGCGAAGACTTGGAAAATCATGATGCACAGGCAGAGAATCACGAGCACAGCTTGCTTGGATGGCGCAAGTTAACACACACGTCCCTATCTCACAGGTGTCTTTAGTGTGCGTCTTAGTTAATCCTAGCCTCCATTTCCAGATTCAACCAGAGCCACCTCCTAACAATTTTTCTGGCCTCAAGACATATGAGCTTTCTGTTTGGCTCCAGACAGGAGAACTCACTTCACAGCCACAGAGCTCTGGCTGGAATGGCTTCCCAGTGCTGAGACCAAGCATTTCTCTTTCCTTGCTAGGCTAAAGTCTAAGAAAAACTGCCTCGTGTTGATATCGTCTTTTTTTTTTTTTTTTCCTCTTCTGAACCCAATTATGTCTGAGATAGCGTTTCCTCTCCTTTCTTCCTTGAATCACCATCTGGAGCCCTGACTCTTCCATCCTGGTTCCCACACCTCTCTCTTTGGAAGTCACTTCTCCAAGCTATTTGACAGGTCTGTCTGTTCCAAGCACAAATGTTAAGAGGTCCAAAACCCATTTTTATTAATATTAGTACACTGAGAGCCCATCTTTATAACTTTGGCCTCATTAAGACTAGTGATAGCATCACTGTATTTACGAGGGGAAAGGTAGTTGCCATGATGCTCTCCTAGTTATAGTTTAGGGGCAATTAAAATGACTGCCCATTGGTGGTAGTTTATGGATTTGCATAAGAAGAGAGAACTCATAGAACTAGCATTATTTTACATGTCTTTACAGAGGTGTATTTGGCTGTTTTGTTAGACATTCTAGGGATGAGAGAAAATGAAAAAAGAAAAACATGACTACAGAGGTAGAGGAATTATTACAAGGAGGGTAATTTAAAAACACTATGACAATTCATTCACTCCTGAGAGGGGGGTATGTACTGAAAACACTTTAACACATGAAGGAAAGGGGCAGAAAGGTACCTAACAAATTTTGAACACCTGCTATGTGATAAACACTCTACAGGGTCTTTTGCTTTTATTATGTTGTTAAAAACGAATAGTTCTTCATCAAAGGGTTTCGGTTTCTAGTTTCCAGTTCTTTGTTCTATTCTAAAAAGTAATCTTACCTATTCATCCATCAGCCTTCCTTATCTCTGCTGTGACTAAACACACCTAAGCATTTCTGATCACTTACGTACCTGTCCTTCCTGTAAAAGCCCACCTTTGCCTCCTTCGATGATGTCAACAATAGCCAATCGGAATTAGCCTACATTGTGCAGTCTGACCTCAGCCTACAGGGGGAGGAGACAGGAACAAGATCTGCATTAAGGATAAAAACTCCTGCCTTCCTTTGTTCTGAGTGCTCTCCCTTGCGTCTGCCTTGTGTGCAGGAAGTGCTCTTCTATAGAAGAAAATTGCCTTGCTAAGAACACTTTTGCCTGAGTGTTAGTTACACTTTGCAGCACCGAGCACTTTTACTTCTAACCATTATCTCATTTAATCTGTACAACACTGTAAGGATACAGCTATTGGATATTGATGCTTATAGAAATTAAATAATTGCTCAAAGTCACAGCTAAAAAGTGAAAAACCAGGGATTCCAATCCAGATCCAAATGACTGTGCTTCAGTGAAGGCCATCCAGTTGCAAGCGATAACCAGCACAAGAATTGACACTATCTGGGAAAGCCAAAAACAGAAGCAGACTAGAGCTGCAAGGGAGCTCAGACTTCAAGACAGCTCCAAGAACAACACCAGCAAACACACACCCACGGGGTTCACTCTCCTGCTCAGCCAGGTGCTGGACACAGCCTCGATCTCACTCCCTCAGTGCACTTGGTTTCTGCTTACCCCAAACTTTTGCTTGCACGTGGCCTCATCAGCCCCTGGATCTTTCAGCTTCAGCTCTCACTGCCAAATAAAAAGTCTTCATGTCTCCTTGTTCTGAATCACAAGAGAAAAGCTGACCAGCAGCTCCTCTCAAGACAGAGCCCTGGTCAGCCTGAGACCGGTCAGGCTCCCAGCCTCATCTACTCAGCTCGGGCCTTGCACTTGCTGCTCCCGCTGGCCTGGGGAAGGAGGAGTCCTCAATATCCAGGCCCCAGCTCACCTCCTCAAAGAAGTCTCTCTGGCTGTCTGGCCACTGGATAGTGGTCAAACACCACCCCCACCCCTCACCCCCTAGCTTGCTCTAAGTCACTTTTTAAAAATCACATTACTCTGTATTTAATTTATTCATAGCTCTTAGCACCATCTGAACCCATTTATTCTTCCTCACTAGAATATAAATTCCATAAATGGAGAAACTTTGTCTGTTTTGTTCTTCTCTGGCTCCAGGACTCAGAACCTGGTGCTTCAACACCTCATAGGCATTCAACAAAAATCTGATGAATGAATGAGTAGCCAGTCAGACATGGGGGCTCTAAGTTAAGGTTTCTGTTCTGAGGCTGGGTAAAGAAGGTTCCATGACTTGAATACCTATCTAGTTAAAGGGCCAGTTCTTAAATGGTTTCAAGCCGTTTTCACACAACCCCACAACAACCCTGTGTGGCCAGTATTTTTATTAGCTCTATTTTATAAAGGAAGAAACTGAGACTCAGTAAACTTAAGTGACTTGCCCAGAGGTCACTCAGCAAGTGCTTGAACCCAGGATTTGAACATCTGCCAGACCCCCAAGCCACCTGTAACTTTGTATTTCCTCACTTTTCCTCCCGCTGGGGTAAGTGGGATAAAAAACAGACTTGGTTACCAAACTCTAGAATGACAACACTAAACAATATGGAAGAAAAATATTATTTCACTTCCCAGACAGCGGTAATTACGGATCTCGTTATTCCAGAAGAAGCACAGACTAAATCACAGAGGTTTAGATAAATCTGAGAATAACGGATTCACTAAGCGCTATTAAAAACATCTGCAGTGACTTGTTCAGCCCTCTTCAGGTTGGCTGTGTAGCGGACAACCTCCACACAGGCACACACCAGGACAGGAAATCGCATGCTCATAAAACGAGGTAAGAGTTGTGAAAGCACTTCAGGAACCTATTAGTTCTCAAAGTGTTCGTTTTCTTCAGCCCCCAATTATCACTCATTACTGAGTATAGACTAGACTATTGCTACAGGCTCAGTTGCGTCCTCCCCACATGGATTTTAGACGTCCCAAGCCTCTGGGGCTGTGAGAAAACACATTTCTGTGTCTAAGCCACCCAGTTTATGGTATTTTGTCACGGCAGCCAGAGCTGCCAAAACAACTATGGCCCTAAAATGCTTTAACTTCACATACCTAGAAAGCACTACAGCCCCAAGAAAAAAGTTTTTCTGCCCTGCTTTTAAGCCAGGGCCACACGCTGCAGTGCTGCGATGCTCCACCAGCTGGAGGATGGCCTAGCCCATAATACTCACATTCCTACCTTGCTCTGGCCCTGTCTCCCCTCCCATCTGCATCCTGAGCTCGCACCCCGCGTGAAACCCAACCAGCTGCTTATTAACATTCAAGTCCACTTTTATGACACTTCCGTCAACCATCTGGTCAACCGCACTCATCCCCGGCCTCTGTACTGGACCTTGCTCCTCCCTCCTCGATTCCCGCCCTAGGGGAAGCTAGAACCATGTTGGCCTTAACTTTATAGACTCTGGGCTGAGATAGCCAAGTTTGGGATCCCAGCTGTGTCCTTGCTAAAGTTAGTACCTCCGGGGCTCAGTTCCGCATTCCTAAGAGAGAGGTGGGTCAGAGTGCTCACTCACTGTTGCAATGTCTTATCTAAATAAGATAATCGATGAAAACCTCAGCTCAGCTGGGTCAAATGTAAGGCTCACACGCAAAGCCGCTTTTCAGGCCGACTCCTGCGCACTGCCCAGTTCCACCGCAGGAACCACCTTCGTGGGCCTGTCCGGTCTCCGCACAGGGGTTCCCGCCTGTCAATCACGCTGGCCCCGCCCTCCACTTCCGGGACCTTTTCCCGCTCTGGACTGGCCACGCCCCTTTGCATACAAGGGTCCCGCGCTGGGACGGACTCCTGGTTTGCGATTTCACCAGTTTTCCCTTCCGTGTCCCGCTGCTCCTGGTCCTCAGCCCTGCCGCCACGCACCACTGCACTCACCTTCTTCGCAGGCAGAATTGCTTCGCTGAAGCCAGGTCCCGGGAATCAGGGCAAACGCCGCTGAATTTGAAACTGGCGGCTCTGCTCAGTGAACACCAGCCGGACCCACCCCCGCCGCTGCGCACGCGCACTCCGGACCGCTCGCGAGCAAGAAGGTGCTGGACTCTGGAGGGGCGTGGTTTGCGCGCTCTCCGCGCCTTTGCGCTTGCGCAGCGGACTCAAGGGTGGAGAGTTTGGTGCTAGAAGCGCTGGGTCTGGCGGGTGACTGGTGGCTGTGCTCAGGAACTTGCACCTCAACCCCAGGGCCCGGTGCCTCCTCCCGCTGCTTTCCGCCAACGGCGGGTTGTGTGATTAATCCCCGCCGATTAGCGCCAGGTGTACGAAGCGCTTGACGGTTGTAACTCCCAGGGACGGGCGCTGTCCCGGTGACTGGCAACCTGTCTTCTGGTTCAGGCTCTAGTCGGCCTCTGGAGGCCTGCAGCTCGGTTATTTTACCTCTGAAACGGACGACACGTGCCCTGCGCACCCCAGCGGCTCCTCCACGCGGAGAAATGGTGTCAGTGAAAGGCCGTCTAGATGACGAGTTTATGAAATCATTTCTGCCCCGTGCCAGGCACGTCCTTGCAGGGAGCCCAGAAGACGAAAGCCCAGCCCTGCCAGCAGCTCACCTGCTAATTAGGAGGACAACGCATCATCTCGCCTCCCTGGACTTTGCTTCTCTTTTTTTCAGTGAGGGATTGGACTAGCTGCTTCCTAAGAACTTTTCGGAAAGTCTGGTTCTGGGAGATGATCAATGGGAGCATCTTATGCTAGGAGCTTTCCTGGAATGACAGGTAACTGGTGCGCCTTCCCAGCAGGGTCAGGGAGAGTTACCGGGACTTGAAGGAAAGGCTTTTGGGGAGAGGAGCCCGTCCCTTTAAAAAATGTATCTTCTTCTTCTTTCCCCAATACCTGGCCTTTTCCCTTTAAATATTGGGGTCCCAAGACCCTCTTTGGAAAAAGCATGAAACAATGTTTCCTGTGGATCTGTGTTCTTCCCTGGGCACGTCCTCAACCTCAGCAAATAAACCTACTGAAAAGTGATCGGGACTCACCTTGGTCATTTTCCTTTGGTTTACATTTTCTAAGCTACAGACCTGTGCAGCATGTGACTATACTGAATACTGCAGATAACTGCAACATGATGGTACTTGTGTCTCTAAAGGTCTCAACACAGAAAAGCTACAGTAAACATATGGTTTGAAAGATAAAAGTGGTATACCTCTAAAGGGCACCATAGCATTATAGTATTTGTCTCTGTCCAAGGTTCCGGGCTCATAACTTCTATAGCCCTCAGTATAGTCTTGTTATGGTGCTGGGACACTTTAGGCTCAGAAAACAGACTCTCTTTCTCTGACTTTCTCCTGCCGTCCTTTCACCTGCTGATAGGAGGCTGACAAAACTCATCCCCGGGCCAGGATGGTGGCACACCCCAACCCCACAGAAGACCCTGGGCTAGGGACCCCTCCAGACTCACCCTATGTATCTCCTCATCTAGCTGTTTATTTGTATCACGTAAAATACCCGTTGAAAGAAACCAGTAAACAAGTGTTTCCCTGAGCTATGTGAGCACTCTGGCAAATTAATCAAACCCAAAGAAGGGTTTACTCACTGCTAGCCCCACTTGAAGCTGGTCGGTCAGATGTTTTGGAGGCCTTGACTTGCTATCGTGGGAAGGAGAGGAGTCTTGGAGACTAAGCCCGCAAGCTGTGGGATCTGATGCTATCTCCAGGCAGTGTCAAAATTGAACTGGAGGACACCTAGCTGATGTCCCCTCCAAAACTGCTTGCTTGCTTGGTGTGTGGGGAGAAATTCCCCTATATGTGGTCATAGAAGTCTTCCATGTTGATGGTGGTTGTGGTGTGAGAGCAGAGGAAAAACACATTTGCGTTGTTTTTTCCACACACAGGCACTTACCATGAATGGAGCTTGCAGGACTGGAAGTTGCTCTGGGTCAGTCAGGGAGTGACTGTTCGTGCATGTGAAAGTCTCGGACATTAATGCACACTACTGTGGACTTTATAATAAACAGTGGACACTTAGGCTACGTTAAATTTGTTAAAATATTGTTTTCTTCAATAAATTAACCTTAGTTTTTGTACCTTTTTCACTTTATAAACCCTTTAATTTTTTAAACTTTTTGACTCATAATAACAATTTAAAACACAATTGTACAGCTTACATAAGCTTTTTTTTTTTTTTTAAAAAAAAACTTTGTTTCAGTTTTTAAATGTTTCTGTTAAAAATTAGGACACAAACACACACATTAGTTCAGGCCTACACAGGGTCAAGATCATCAATACCACTGTCTTCCACATGTTGTCCCACTGGAAGGTCTTCAGAGGCAGTAACTTGCACGAAGCTGCCACGACTTATGATAACAATGCTTTCTTCTGGGATACCTCCTGAAGGATCTTGCCTGAATCTGCTTTTCAGTAAGCTTTGTTTTTAGAAAGCAGCGGCTGGGCGTGTGGCTTACACCTGTAATCTCTGCACTTTGGGAGGACAAGGCAAAAGGATCACAATAGCCAGGGGCTTAAGACGAGCTTAGACAACAGAGCAAGAACCTACCTCTACAAAAAAATAAAAATAATTAATTGGGTGTGATGGTACATCTGCTGTCCAGCTACTTGCTAGGCTGAGGTGAGAGGATGGTGTGAGTCCAGGAGTTCAACCCTTTAGTGAGCTGTGATTATGCCACTGCAGTCCAGCCTGGGCAACAGAATGAGACTGCCTCGAAAACATAACAAAACTAGAAAGAGTGCACTCTAAAATAACAATAAAGGTATTGTAAACACAAACCAGTAACAGTCATTTATAATCATTATCAAGTATCGTGTACTGTGTGTAACTGTCCAAGCTATATTCTTACACACTGTCAGCTCAGGTTTCTTTACACCAGGACCACCACAAATGTGTTTTTGTTGTTTTCCAGAGGAGATCAAATCCATATATCCGGCTTTTACCCCCTTCCTGAGTTCTAGTCCCCCATTTTCAAACACCACTGAAAATTTAGTTTGACTAAGTATTTCAACCTATATTATGAGAAGAAACAATAGGTCCCACACCCACTATGGTGTGGCTTAATGAGCTAAAGTGTATCGAGATAGACATCATAATCTAAGAAACGAGGGTTGAGAGAAAGCAAATATTTTTAGGGTGCATCTTGTACTGTTCCAGAGTGAGGCATGTGGGGTCTTGGGGACAGGAATAATCTGGTCTGGTCTCTAATGATGTTTTCTCTTATAGCACAGGCACATTTCATGAACTTTTCCCAATACCCAGGTGCTACAGTTTGGATGTGGTTTGTTTGGCCCCACTAAGTCTCATGTTGAAATCTGATTTCCAGTGTTGGAGGTGACATCTGGTGAGTGATGTTTGGACCATGGGGGTACATCCCTTATGAAGGGCTAGCTGCCGTTATGGCAGGAGTGACTGAGTTGTCACTCTTAGTTCCCTCGAGAATTGCTTGTTGAAAACAAACTTGTACATCCTACATGCTCTCTTTCTAAAAGAGGATCTAAGGAAATTTATTATAAAAGCAGAGGAATGCTGAAACCAAACCCAATTCATATTGGTGATAACTACCATTGGTTAAGCTTCCACAATGACATGTAAGGTGCTAAGGCCTTTGTTACCAGGATTATCTCATTTATCTCATAAGAATTCTAGAACTTAGGTCCTATTATTATTAATGAGAAAAGCAGAGACTCAGAAGGCTTAAGTTATATGCCAAGGTCATTCAGCTAGTTGAATGGTGGAGTGGGGAATGTGGATGCAAGCAGTCAGACTTTATTAGAACATGTACTTAAAACCAGCATGAAGGAATGAGAACAAAAGAATTGTAAATGCTGGCCAAAGAAAACTAAAACAATGTACAATATTTAGCTCTGAGATCACTAGCAGTGAAGACAAAGAAGGATGCATGATGGGTTTCTATAGCTTTCACTGTCCAGTTATAGAAAACATTTCTATATGAGTACAAGAATTTTTCTTCCTAGCCCTGAGTTTTGAGGGGAATTTATGAAGAAGGTCTTTGAGTTCATTCAATCAATGGCATCATCTAAGGCTGTTTAATAATAAATGCAGACGTAGTCCACATAGGAAACTTTTGCCTTTACCCTTGAGACAAAACCCAGGGTCTCACGTTAGGAGTACACCTCTCTAAATATAAGCCTTCAGGACAGAAATGAAGGGAGAATGGAGGGACACAATCCAGATTTACAGTCTGGTGGGAATGGCCTTTGTCCTCTCCATGTCTATTGCCACTCTTGGGGTCCAAGCCCTTACTGCATTGTCTGGTTTACTGCACAGCCCAACTTGGCAGCTTGCTTCTGGTCTCTCCCCATCAAACCATCCTTCACACTGCTTCCTGATTAATATTTCCAAGACATTGCATTTACAAATCCACTCCTCTGTTTAAAAATGTTTCAGTGACTTGTAACTTGTCTACAGCATGAAATCTAAGTTTATTAGAAGTCTAACTTTATTAGACCCAGACCTCGACTAAATTCATGTGCTGTTACTTTCTGTTCCTCCAATGGTGCTGCTTAAATGGGAAGATTCGTCCCCTGGAAGTGTGCGTATGTGGGACGGAGTTTGAAGCAATAGGGTAAAAAACCTAGTGTACCTTCTATTCTAGAGGTGTCAATTTACCAGACAACCGTTAAAACACTGTTTTTATGAGAAAACAAACACAGATGTTATAGGGTGCAATGCAACATTTTTATG